GTAATATCAGCCAATAAGAGGTTGAAAACAATTACTTCCGTGTACTGATACCCATTCTGCACATTAGATCATCTTTCTCTCAGATAATTCCCCTTCTCTGTGCTCCAGACATGATTTATGAATATTCAGGGGGTCAGGTGGCTGTATTAGTTTGTGCCTTTAGTAGGTTGGTCCCTCTTTGAGCAGACATAGCTAAATGTTCACATAAAGCTGTATTCACAGCCTTGCTGGGATGAAAAAGATACACACACGTAAATTTCCAGGAGAAAATACGGGTGCTCCCTCAAGTGTTCTTATCACTAGAAGCCTACGCCTATGGTCACTTGTTCTTTTCTAAAGGTTCTACAAGTCTGAACTTTGAACCTCTTTATTATCAGAGGTCACCTGACCCAGTAGCAGGATTGCCAACCTCCCTCAACCTTTTTTTTTTTTTTTTTTATACTGATGAGCACTTTTTTTACGGACATCCTGAAATGTGATAGAAGCTCCTATTCCAAACTAACAATACTCAGAACAAGTCATCTGCCGGCTTTACAATGCAAAACTCTAAACAGATTGACAAAATGTGAGTAGAACTGGGGAGATGAAGGGCCTGGGGCACCCTGGGATGAAGTAGAAAAATAAGTTTTGCAACATGCATAGCACGCCGTGGTGATCGGTATCGTAATGGAACCGACCCAGTCTGCACTTGGGTATTTCCGTTATACTACCGCGTCCCTGTCCGAACACCGACAACAGACGCCACTCTTGAAGTAAACCAGAGTAGACTACTTTATTTTAACACAGATACAAGATATATACATTCAAGGGAACACCCCCCCCCCTGCATAATGACACAGGGCGGGGCAATCTACATTCAGTAACAAGAGACACACCAGCAGACAGTCCCATCAGGAGGGAGGGCCGCTGGAGACACCCCCCACCAAGCCAATATGCAAACACATACATTTCATAATAGTTTGCTCCCAAGCAAGACACACAATAGAACAATGGGATGCAACCACATGGCATTAAATAATCCACAACCCCCACCCCAATAATAGGACAGATCACCCTGTACCCCTAACAGGCACAGGGTGACTTACACATAAGAGGAATATGGGGAGCTGAGACAGGGGTCTCCCCACCTCTCCAAAGTGAGCTGTGTTCCATCAGTTCCCACCCAAAGTGACTCCCATCACAGGTATGCATGGCCAGATTTTAGCTAACAGTGGGAGGGGCTTAAATGGGTCTCATTAAACATAATCTGTGCCAAGCCGCTACTGTATATACACTGCGCACACATAACAGTCCTTGCACTCACAAAATATTCCTAAATACTGTAGCACAACTGACAGCCTCACAGACACAAACAAACCGCAGGACAAAGGATCATTTTTTAAAATGAAACATTTCCATTGCTGATGCTTTCACGTGCAGCCCCCCCTTGTCCGAAACTGGGGCTACCATGCAAATCTAGTTTTTGGCTGGGCTGTAGTTGGCTCAGACTGATTATATAGTTTTTTTTTCTGGGCTTTCCCCTAATCTTGGTTGGGTTGTGTATTTCGGCACCACAGGTCATAGTATGAGATCGCACAATTAGGCTGAGTTATGAACATTTATATTTCTACCAGGCAGCCCAGTAGGAGGTTCTATGATCCCTGATGCATTCTGGGAGAGTATATATATATATATATATATATATATATATATATATATATATATTTGGGGTGGGCCATGTGCTTGCTCTCTTACCTCAGGCTGAGGCCTAAGGAGCTGCTGCTAGTGAGAACTCTGCTCTAGGCCCAGAAGCATGTCTGGGACCTACCTGCTTTGAAGTGGTCCTGAGGCTGTCCTGCCCAGCAAGCCAAGGAAAGAAGATCCAGGGGAGGACCCTTGCTGGAGAGAGCCAGGATGAAGGCTGGTCTCTCATATGGGCCTGGGTACGTGCTTGGGGGATGCACTAGACTCTTGAAAAATGCTTGCAGTGTTGCCGGGTTGGCTTAAAAGTTCTGCAATTGTGAAGCTGGACTGTATTCTGGAATTCAAGGAGTCTGTAAGTAATCTGTTTGGCATCTGAGACCCCTAAACCCTCCACTCCCATTCCTTTTTAAGTGCAACATTAAAACTTTGAAAAAAAGTTCTAAAGTGACTGGTGCTCAATTTCTGTTGAAATTTCCCCTTTCTAGCCATGGACTCAGCCCTGGGGTAAATGCTAGGAGAACTCTGTGGAGTCTAATGTAAAGGAGAACTCTGAGGATTCTGATTTGTACAGCGCTGAGCAAACTGTTGGCGCTTTATAAATACTACTGTATTATAATAATAATGCTGCAGACTCTGCTGTACAGGGAAACTCTGATGCAAGGGGGTCTCCAGCCACTGGAGTCCGCCCTTTACACAACAATCCACAGAGTTCCCCCTTACATCAGAGTCTGCAAGATTTCCTCCTACAGTGCAAGGGGGAACTCTGCAGACCCTGATGGAAAGGGAAACTCTGATGTAAAGGGGAATGCTGAGGACCATGATGTAAGGGAGAATGCCGCAGAGGCTGGTGTAAACTGGAACTCTGATGTAAGGTGGTCTCTAGTCACTAATGCCCCCCTACATCAGAGTCCACACAGTTCCCCCTTTCATCCTGGTCCACAGCATTCACCTTTACATTGTAGCTTTGCCTTTTACAGCAGAATTCCTACCTACATCAGGGTCTTCAGCATTGCCCTTTACAGCAGAATTCCTACCTACAACAGGGTCTGCAGCATTGCCCTTTACAGCAGAATTCCTACCTACATCAGGGTCTGCAGCATTGCCCTTTACATCCGGCATCCTACCTACAACAGGGTCTGCAACATTGCCCTTTACATCAGACTTCCTACCTACATCAGGGCAGCATCTGCAGCATTGCAACATTGCCCTTTACATCAGACTTCCTACCTACATCAGGGTCTGCAACATTGCCCTTTACATCCGGCATCCTACCTACATCAGGGTCTGCAGCATTGCACTTTACATCAGACTTCCTACCTACATCAGGGTCTGCAACATTGCCCTTTACATCCGGCATCCTACCTACATCAGGGTCTGCAGCATTGCACCTTTACATCAGACTTCCTACCTACATCAGGGTCTGCAACATTACCCTTTACATCCGGCATCCTACCTACATCAGGGTCTGCAACATTGCCCTTTACATCAGACTTCCTACCTACATCAGGGTCTGCAACATTGCCCTTTACATCAGACTTCCTACCTACATCAGGGTCTGCAACATTGCCCTTTACATCAGACTTCCTACCTACAACAGGGTCTGCAACATTGCCCTTTACATCCGGCATCCTACCTACATCAGGCATTGCCCTTTACATCAGACCTACACATCAGGGTCTGCAGCATTGCCCTTTACATCCGACATCCTACCTACATCAGGGTCTGCAGCATTGCCCTTTACATCCGACGTCCTACCTACATCAGGGTCTGCAGCATTGCCCTTTACATCAGACTTCCTACCTACATCAGGGTCTGCAGCATTGCCCTTTACATCCGGCATCCTACATACATCAATGTCTGCAGCATTGCCCTTTACATCCAACGTCCTACCTACATCAGGGTCTGCAGCATTGCCCTTTACATCAGATTTCCTACCTACATCAATGTCTGCAGCATTGCCCTTTACATCAGACTTCCTACCTACATCAATGTCTGCAGCATTGCCCTTTACATCAGACTTTCCTACCTACATCAGGGTCTGCAGCATTGCCCTTTACATCAGACTTCCTACCTACATCAATGTCTGCAGCATTGCCCTTTACATCAGACTTCCTACCTACATCAATGTCTGCAGCATTGCCCTTTACATCAGACTTCCTACCTACATCAGGTCTGCAGCATTGCCCTTTACATCAGACTTCCTACCTACATCAATGTCTGCAGCATTGCCCTTTACATCAGACGTCCTACCTACATCAGGGTCTGCAGCATTGCCCTTTACATCAGACTTCCTACCTACATCAGGGTCTGCAGCATTGCCCTTTACATCAGACTTCCTACCTACATCAGGGTCTGCAGCATTGCCCTTTACATCAGACTTCCTACCTACATCAGGGTCTGCAGCATTGCCCTTTACATCAGCGTCTGCACATTCTCCCCTCTTGCACTGTAAGGGGGAATCCTGCAGACCACCTTCTGCAGAGTAAGGTAAGGTGGGGGAGTACTGATATAAAGGGGAACTTTATATTAATGTCCCCCTTACCTTAGTATATTCACCACCCCTTACATCAGTGACCGGGTGTGATCTATAACTGACCCTCTCCACAATGCTTGCTCGGCTGCAGGGCAGGCTCAGTCAGACATGGTCCTCCGGGTGGTTCAGTGGCTACTTTGGTTTCATCCTCACCTCTTCTCTCTAAACTTGTCCTCCAGTCTTGGCATCACTTCCGCTCCCAGGCTTCACTAGCTCCCCCTCCAGTCCTTCTTACAGGCAGCCGATGCCCATAATGCACATTTACAGTTTGAAAATTGCCCAATTTTTACAAACCATCTGTAAATTTGCACGCATTGTGGTTGTGTGAAGAACATGCACTTCCTGTTCCCCATTAGTTCCTGCTCTTCTCACAAGGATGTAAGAATGTCAAATGGATCTGGGAGGAGGACCAAAGGAACTTTGGCTGTTGAGGGGAATATTCCCAGCTGGTTGGGACATCCATAGATGACATCTGCTCAATAAAACCTACCTGATCCAGATGGAATATTGATTCATGTGAACCTTCCCTCTTATCTTTGTCATGTTTTTATATTTTTCCAGGACACGCCATCAAGAAACCCTCAAAGGATCTTCTCACTTTATCTCCAGATTGTAAAATGGAAGATGAGGACATCACAAGAGATTGTGCCGGAGAAAGGACAATGAGCTCAGCTATGGATGGTGGACTTCACCGTGTGTATAGACAACTGAATGCCTCTGATGCTGAACGTACTGTGAGGGATGGTGTCGGAATTCAGGGGGAGGAGACATTTTCCTGTCCTGAATGTGGGGAAAGTTTTAGATCTGAATTAAGTCTTACCGTACATCAGAGATCTCACACAGGTGATAAGGTTCATTCCTGTTCTGAGTGCGGGAAATGTTTTCTTCATGTATCAGAACTTGTCATACATTGCAGATCTCACACAGAGGAGAAGTTGTATTCCTGCCCTGAATGTGGAAAATGTTTTACACGGAAATCGCAACTTAATAGACATTACAGATCTCACACGGGGGAGAAGCCTTATTCCTGCTCAGAGTGTGGGAAATGTTTTTTACAGAGTTCAGACCTTGTTAGACATCGGAGGTCTCACACAGGCGACAAGCCGTATTCCTGCCCTGAGTGCGGGAAATGTTTTTCACAAATATCAGTCCTTTATAGACATCAGGGATCTCACCCAGGGGAGAAGCCGTATTTCTGCCCCGAGTGTGGAAAATGTTTTCCACGGAAATTAGACCTAAGTAAACATCAGAGGATGCACACGGGAGAGAAGCCAAACCCTTGCTCTGAATGTGGGAAATGTTTCACACAGAAATCAAAACTTATTAGACATCAGAGATCTCACACGGGGGAGAAGCCGTACTCTTGCCCTGAGTGCGGGAAATGTTTTTTACAGAAATCAGACCTTGTTATTCATCAGAGATTGCACACTGGAGAGAAGCCGTATTCCTGCCCTGAGTGTGGGAAATGTTTTTCGTGGTTTTCCTCTCTTTACAAACATCAGAAGGCTCACACAGGGGAGAAGCCGTATTCCTGTCCAGAATGCGAGAAATGTTTTTCACAGAAATCACACCTTGCTAAGCACCAGGAATTGCACACGAGAGAAGCTGTATTCCTGTTTTGAGTGCAGGAAATGTTTTTCATGGAAATCAGATTTTATTATACATCAGAGATCTCACAGAGGGGTGTAGAGATGAGCGGATGCAGCTGGGTTCAGTTCACAAAATGTTCACCAAACTGTCTAATATTCATTCGAACCCCAATCCAGTCAAGGGACCGATGCCAGCGGCCAAACAGTCATTTCATTGGTGGAATAGGGTTATGGTGCCAAAAAAAAGACAGCAAACAAAAAAAGCATGGGGGTCCCCCAAAATCAATTCCAGACCCTGATCCTTGATATGTGTGTGGTGTGGATTTTAGAAGAAACGTATTCAAAAGAAAGACAAACAAAAAGCATGGGGATCCCCCCCCCAAAATCAATTCCAGACCCTGATCCTTGATATGTGTGTGGGGTGGATTTTAGAAGAAACTTATTCGAAAGAAAGACAAAAATCATGTGGGACCCCCAAAATCAATTCCGGACCCTGATCCTTGATATGTGTGTGGTGTGGATTTTAGAAGAAACATATTTGAAAGAAAGACAAAAATCATGTGGGACCCCCCAAAATCAATTGCAGACCCTGATCTTTGATATGTGTGTGGTGTGGATTTTAGAAGAAACTTATTTGAAAGAAAGACAAACAAAAAGCATAGGGGTCCCCCCAAAATCAATTCCAGACCCTGATCCTTGATATGTGTGTGGTGTGGATTTTAGAAGAAACTTATTCAAAAGAAAGACAAACAAAAATCATGTGGGACCCCCCAAAATCAATTCCAGACCCTGATCCTTGATATGTGTGTGGTGTGGATTTTAGAAGAAACTTATTCAAAAGAAAGACAAACAAAAATCATGTGGGACCCCCCAAAATCAATTCCAAACTCTGATCCTTGATATATGTGTGGTATGGATTTTAGAAGAAACTTATTCGAAAGAAAGACAAAAATCATGTGGGACCCCCCAAAATCAATTCCAGACCCTGATCCTTGATATGTGTGTGGTGTGGATTTTAGAAGAAACTTATTCGAAAGAAAAATTGAAAAAATACTGACACCTGAGAAAGTTTTATTCTGGAAAAGCACACACATGAAGGCTAGGTTCACACCTATGCTGTTCGCATTTGATTTAAGAAAAGATATATTGACGTGGTTTCTTTTTTTTTTTTGGTGACTTGCCAGTCATTTATTGTGAATAATAAATAAAGGATAATAAAGAATTTTTCAAAGGTGTGCGTGCTTGCTTTTTCATGTAGCAGAGTACCTTGTTACCAGTGTGTGCAGGGCCCTTTAACTTCATTACTCACAGTCTCCTAAGCACTATTCATCCCTTGGACACTAGAATGCATCACTAGAGGGGTCTCCAGCAGGAGGAAGGAGGTCCCGATTCCTCTATATAGATCTTTATATCACTAGAGGGGTCGCCGGAAGGAGGAAGGAGGTCCCGATTCCTCTATATAGATCTTTATATCACTAGAGGGGTCACCGGCCGAGGAAGGAGGTCCCGATTCCTCTATATAGATCATTATATCACTAGAGGGGGTCACCGGCAGGAGGAAGGAGGTCCCGATTCCTCTATATAGATCTATATATCACTAGAGGGGTCACCGGCGGGAGGAAGGAGGTCCTGATTCCTCTATATAGATCTTTATATCACTGGAGGGATCACTGGCAGGAGGAAGGAGGTCCTGATTCGACTATATAGATCTATATATCACTAGAGGGGTCACCGGCGGGAGGAAGGAGGTCCTGATTCCTCTATATAGATCTTTATATCACTAGAGGGGTCACCAGCAGGAGGAAGGAGGTCCCGATCCTCTATATAGATCTTTATATCACTAGAGGGGTCACCAGCAGGAGGAAGGAGGTCCCGTTCCTCTATATAGATCTTTATATCACTAGAGGGGTCACCGGCAGGAAGAAGGAGGTCCCGATTCCTCTATATAGATCTTTATATCTCTAGAGGGGTCACCGGAAGGAGGTCCCGATTCCTCTATATATTACTGGAGGGGCCTCCGGCAGGAGGAAGGAGGTCCTAATTCCTCTATATAGATCCTTATATCACTAGAGGGGTCACCAGAAGGGGAAGGAGATCCTGATTACTCTATATACAGTGAGGAACAGAAGTATTTGAACACCCTGCGATTTTGCAAGTTCTCCCACTTAGAAATCATGGAGGGGTCTGAAATTCACATTATAGGTGCATTCCCACTCTGAGAGACAGAATTTAAAAAAAAATTCAGGAAATCACATTGTATGATTTTTAAAGAATTTATTTGTCTTGCACTGCTGAACATAAGTATTTGAACACCTAAGAAACAGCAAGAATTCTGGCTCTCAAAGACCTGTTACTGTGCCTTTAAAAAGTCCACCTCTACTCCACTCATTAATCTAACTTAGTAGCACCTGTCTGAGCTCTCTAAAGACACCTGTCCACCCCACAGTCAGTCAGACACCAACTACTACCATGGGTAAGACCAAAGAGCTGTTAAAAGACACCAGAGACAAAATTGTGGATCTCCACAAGGCTGGAAAGGGCTACGGGGCAATTGCCAAGCAGCTTGGTGAAAATAGATCAACTGTTGGAGCAATTGTTAGAAAATGGAAGAGGCTAAAGACGACTGTCAGTCTCCCTTGGTCTGGGGCTCCATGCAAGATCTCACCTCGTGGGGTATCACTGATGATAAGAAAGGTGAGGAATCAGCCCAGAACTACAAGGGAGGAGCTGGTCAATGACATGAAGAGAGCTGGGATCACAGTTTCAAAGGTCACTGTCGGTAGAACACTACGCCGTCATGGTTTCAAATCATGCATTGCACGGAAGGTTCCCCTGCTCAAGTCATCACATGTCCAGGCCCGTCTGAAGTTTGCCAATGACCATCTGGATGATCCAGAGGAGGCATGGGAGAAAGTCATGTGGTCAGATGAGACCAAAGTAGAACTTTTTGGTCTAAACTTCACTCATCGTGTTTGGAGGAAAAAGAAGGATGAGTTGCATCCCAAGAACTCCATCCCTACTGTGAAGCATGGGGGTGGTAACATCATGCTTTGGGGGTGCTTTTCTGCGAAGGGGACAGGACGACTGCACTGTATTAAGGAGAGGATGAATGGGGCCATTTATTGTGAGATTTTCAGAAACAACCTCCTTCCCTCAGTCAGAGCATTGAAGATGGGTCCTGGCTGGGTCTTCCAACATGACAACGACCCAAAGCACACAGCCAGGAAACCAAGGAGTGGCTCCGTAAGAAGCATATCAAGGTTCTGGAGTGGCCTAGCCAGTCTCCAGACCTAAATCCAATAGAACATCTTTGGAGGGAGCTGAAACTCCGTGTTGCTCAGCGACAGCCCCGAAACCTGACAGATCTAGAGGAGATCTGTGGGGAGGAGTGGGCCGAAATCCCTGTTGCAGTGCAAACCTGGTCAAGAACTACAGGAAAATACGTTTTTACCTCTGTAATTGCTGAATTAAAAGGCTTCTGTACCAAATATTAACACTGATCTTCTCATGGGTTCAAATACTTGCAGGGTGTTCAAATACTTCTGTTCCTAATCACTGTAGATCTTTATTCACTAGAGGGGTCACCAGCGAGACAAGGAGGTCCTGATTCCCTATTCTTTATATTAAGAGAGGTCACCAGCAATTGCAGGTCCTTATTCAATCTTTATATGACTAGAGGGGTCACCAGAATTCCTTTTTCTTTAGATCCTTTAACTAGAGGGGTCACCAGCAGGAGTAAGGAGGTCTCCAATTAGTAGAATCTTTACATCACAAGAAGGGTCACCACAGGAGGAAGGAGGTTTTCAGATTCCTCCATATAGATCCTTACATCGCTAAGGGGTCACCGTGGAAAGGAGGTCCTGATTCCTCTATATAGATCTTTACATCGCTAGAGGGAAAGGAAGGAGGTCCCGATTCCTCTATATAGATCTTTACATCGCTAGAGGGATCACCGGCAGGAGGAAGGAGGTCCCGATTCCTCTATATAGATCTTTATATCGCTAGAGGGATCACCGGCAGGAGGAAAGGAGGTCCCGTCCCCTATATAGATCCATAGCTTTATATCGCTAGAGGGATCACCGGCAGGAGGAAGGAGGTCCCGATTCCCCTATATAGATCTTTATATCGCTAGAGGGATCACCGGCAGGAGGAAGGAGGTCCCGATTCCCTATATAGATCTTTATATCGCTAGAGGGGTCACCAGCAGGAGGAAGGAGGTCCCGATTCCCCTGATTAGATCTTTATATCGCTAGAGGGGTCACCAGCAGGAGGAAGGAGGTCCCGATTCCTCTATATAGATCTTTATATCGCTAGAGGGGTCACCAGCAGGAGGAAGGAGGTCCTTCTATATAGATCTATATATCGCTAGAGGGGTCACCAGCAGGGGAGGTCCGATTCCTCTATATAGATCTTTATATCGCTAGAGGAGCAGGAGGAAGGAGGTCCTCTATATAGATCTTTAGCTGGACCTCATTTAGAATACTGTGTTCTGGAGACCTCACTTACAAAAACATTTATAAGATAGAACAAGTCCAGGTGAAAGGTCTGGGGCGGATAACACATATCCTCTGTAATTGCAAACAAAGGCTTCTGTACCAAATATTAACACTGATCTTCTCAGGTGTTCAAATACTTATGTTCAGCCGTGCAAGACAAATACATTCTTTACAAATCATACAATGTGATTTCCTGAATTTATTTTTTTAATTCCGTCTCTCAGAGTGGGAATGCACCAACAATGTGAATTTCAGACCCCTCCATGATTTCTAAGTGGGAGAACTTGCAAAATTGCAGGGTGTTCAAATACTTCTGTTCCTCACTGTAGATCTTTATATCACTAGAGGGGTCACCAGCAGGAGGAAGGAGGTCCTGATTCCCTATATAGATCTTTATATTACTAGAGAGGTCACCAGCAGGAGGAAGGAGGTCCTGATTCCTCTATATAGATCCTTACATCACTAGAGGGGTCACCGCAGGAGTAAGGAGGTCCCCTATAG